CATACATACATACATACATACATGCATACATACGTACATAATACATAGCATATATATATATAGATATATATATATATATATAAATTAATAAAATGTAGACAAAAACAACGCAACATACTCAAATAGCGCTTATACATATACGTATAAATTGTTTATACTTTAGTGAAGTTAAAAATGGCATGCCAACGAAGTACCTCAATACAGGAGCACTGACGTACTGCGAGCATGTATGAAAAATATCAAAGTATTTAATCTGCAAGCAAATTTTGAAACACAGTGTGTAGCGGGGTCGGCATGGTGTGTACACCGAGCTTGGAATTTCGGAACAATTAACGACATGTCGGAAACTTGTATATGTACTATACAAATAAATATAGTCAGTCACCAGATAGCGCAACAACAACTGGCCACTGACCCGCAATGATATAGGCAGAGGTTCCGATATCGAGTCATCTGCTAAAGCGGGATAGGGTGCGGTATGCGGAGAAACCGGGGGTGTGTGCGTATGTGAGAAGTGATACACTGGAGACCGCGCGAACCTGTGCAGAGAGTATGTGAATCAGATAAGTAGTCAGTCGGTGCAAGAACGGTCCGGGAGTACCCCATATTCAAATTATAGAACATGATCTGATCCTGAGGGATCTAAATATAGAACAGTATTTAGTCCTGAGCGATCTAATTGTAGACAACTATCTGGTCTTGAGTGATCTAATTATAGAACGTCATCAAGCCGCTCACAGCGTAGGCCCATGAGAGACTTTACAGCCACAAAGAACTAAGACAAGTTTGCGAAAGCTATAGCAATTAGACCGCCGAAGTCTCAGGTAAGGTCTCGGTCCGGTGCGGTCGTAAGCGTGCAAAGAGAATGCTACCAGTCGTAGTTGTGGTTACTATGGTTACACAGGGATTTATGGGGGGTTTTAGCAATCACCAATGGGGGGTTGACATACTCTAAGATGCCATTTGTGGGCGCCATTTGTGTATGTGTCGTCAAAACCTCAGACGAAACGAACCAGAACAAACACATAACATAGCCTCACACACATTGCAATACAAATAAGAGGTGCGAAGTAAAACCGCAAAACCCTGAGCCCAAAAATAGACGGCAGCTGATTGGCTACCTCCTCCTAATCTACAAATATACCCTACCTCATTGGCTGCTCCTTCGTCGCGGGAGGACTACCCGGCGGCGTGTGTGGTCGCGAGTGTGGTGGGGTGTGTCGCGGCGAGTGCAACGGTGAGTGGTGCAGCGGAGGTGACAGTGCCAGACCATGTGAGCCATGAGTTACGACCCGCAATAGCCCACTCTTGGTATCAGAGCTCTCTCCAGGCACGGTAGTATCCTGCTGGTAGTGGCTGGTGCTGGGTTGTTCATGGTGGGGCTCAGGTGGGTACTCGTCGTCACTGCCCTCCGTGTCCATGGCGTTGGTGAAGGTATAGGCCGTGCGGCTGTAGTCACTGGCGGTGCGTGTGTGTGCGGTACGCAGACTATGACTGTCTATCGGTGCCGGCTTCTCTGCCCTGTCCTGTCCATTTTCAAGAGGACTCAGGTGCGGAGTGTGGGCGAAGAGACTGGGGCTCCATGGAGTGTCGTCCGTGATGGCTGCGGAATGGGTCATGGGATCGTGAGCGATCACAAGTCGATTTGGGTTGTGTGCATGGGGAGTAGACTGGTTCTATAAATAGATTGCACTGAATTTGTAGGCTAGTGAGTGCACTGATTGTCTTGAGTGGTTTGAATTGGTTCTATAAATAGACTACTCTGAATTTGTAGGCTAGCGAGTGCAATGATTGTCTTGAGTGATTTGAATTGGTTCTATAAATATACTGCTCTGAGTTTGTAGGCTAGCGAGTGCACTGATTGTCTTGAGTGATTTGAATTGGTTCTATAAATAGACTGCTCTGAGTTTGTAGGCTAGCGAGTGCACTGATTGTCTTGAGTGATTTGAATTGGTGCTATAAATAGACTGCTCTGAGTTTGTAGGTAATCGAGTGCACTGGATAACTTCAATGATGGCTGCAAGTGGAGTGTTGAAATAGTGATTAATCACAGGCAAATGGTCCCGCTTTGGTCCCGCTTTGCCGCATGGGATAGTTGGCTCTGGCGTTCACCGCAATCCATAGAATATACAAACCCACACAAGTAGACGGTAGTAGCAAACACCTCACAATCCATACCATACACGCGGGTGCAAAACTTACCCACAGACCCCGCCGTATCCCGGATAACACTCGTACCGGTATTGGTCCCGCTTTGCTTCATCGGACCATTCACCGCAACACTCGACAGCCGACGCATAGCCTCGAACGAAGCGGAGCTTTTAGAGCGCATTGACATTTGCAGAGACAGTGCCACTGGGTGCATGGACGGCGTGTGCGCGAGGTCTGCTTTGGATGAGTCATACCGTTCTATAAATAGAACACGGGAGTGATGGGGACAAGCACCTGTTAGTTGTGTGCCGACCATGAGTGTCCACTTGAGATACCGGTTTGTCATTAGTCGTAACGTTATACACTTGGGTTGCGAGTATTAAGCACGGTAAGAGATGATTTATACTGTGTACTCTTCGCACCATTTGAAGCTCTTCAACCCTAAACCCAAAACCCTAAATCCAAAACCCTAGAGCCCCAAAACCCTAGACTCTGACTTTCACGGGGCCCAAAATCTACACAGAAACTTCAATAATAAACGTACTCATCAACTCTGAGTAGGTATATCACCTCTGTGTGTGTGTGTGTGTGTGTGTGCGGGTGGGGGGGGGGGCGAAATGCGCAGTACATCTCTCAGTTGGTCCAAAGGGATCGTACCCATCAAACTGAGATTTGATATCTCAGACCACCGGAACATAGCCTAAACAGCACACCTTGTCAACTGTCGACTGGCAACATGGGTATGACATCCCGACAAACAATTCCCACTCACACACACGCACATACTTACATACACACACGCACACGCATACACACACACACACACACACACACGTACACATATCCATACGCACGCACACACACACACACACACACACACACGCACACACACACACACACACATACACGCACACACACACACACAAACATACACACACACACTATA